CTGCTGCCTCAAGATGACAAGATAGCTAATGGGGACATCAAACCGGATGTTACAGTCACCAGCAGAAGATTCTTTCAATTTCTTTTTTTTTTTAATCTTGATACATGTACTGAAAAGTGCACACTTTGTAAGTTTATACGTTGAATTTGGAGAAACTAAACAACTGTGACCAGCACCCAGATCACAACCCCACTACCCCAGAAGTCCCCCTTGTTCCTCCCAGTCACTACCCACCTCCTCCCCCAGGATTACTATCCTGACTTCCAACACAATAGGTTAGTTTTGCCTGTTTCTGTGCAATATAAACAATCATATAGTATGTGCTTTTTATGTTTGGCATTCAGCATTGTTTTTGAGATCCATATTGTTGCATGTAGTTGTAAAATGTTCATCTATTGCATGAATGTACCACATTTTATCCATTCCAATGTTGATGGGCATTTGGGTAGTTTCTGATACTTGGCTTTTACAGATAGTGTCATTGTGAACATATGTATTCATTTCTGTTGAGTATGTATTCAAGGAGTGGAGCTGCGGGGACAGAGGGTATGCTTATATTAAGCATTAGTACGTAATTCCCAGTGTGGTTGTATCGCTTTACACTCCTACCAGCAGTGTATGAGAGTTTTAGCCCATGTCTTCACTAACACTTAATCATTTTGTGTCATTTCATTAGACATTCTGGTGGGTGTGTAGTGACATAGTACTGTGATTATGATTTGCAGTTTCTTAAGTTGAGTAAGGATATTTAACTTGCATTTTTCATGTGCTTATTGATTGCTTGGATACTCTCTTGTGAAATGCCTGTTTGGATCTTTTGCTATTTTTTTTGCTTTGGAGGTGAATGTCTTACTAGTATGAGTCACTGGACATGTAATACAATTATCTTCTCACATGCTATGATACCCTATGACATGCTATGGCACACTATGGCTTGCCTTTTAACTTTTGATATTTCTTTTCACAAATAAGTTGCTAATTTTAATGTAGTACAGATTATGTTAGTTTTTCCCTTTTTGGTACACACTTTTTGTGTTCTGTTGATAATCTTTGCCTGCTCTAAAGTCACCAAAATGTTCTATGTTTTTTCTAAAGGCTTGTTTAGCTTTGATATTAGATCTGTCGTCCACCTAGAGTTGATTTTATATTTAGTGTGAAGTAGGGTACAAAATTCATGAGTGTCCAATTGGCCCAGCACCAGTTATGTTTTCTCCATGCACTACTGTGTGACCTTTGTCATTTACATTGGGGGACTATATGTAAAGATCCGTTTCTGATTTCTGCATTTTGTTGGTCAGGCCATCCATCTTTAGATAACTCTTTAAAAAAAAAAAAAACACCCTGTTAGTAGGTGATTGATATCTGGTAGGATAAGTTATCTAGTTTGTTCTTCCTTGTAATCTCTCTTTAAGGGTGGTGAGTCCCCTCATGTCTCATTGGACAGTACTGGGTCGCTTGACTACTTCTAAACCAGGCAATGAAAAGGAGAGTGGGATTGCTGTGATTGGTTTAAACTAATCAGGAATTATCTCTGTGTCTTAATGTAGTGAGGTAGACTTTAAGGACAGAAGTCGAGTAACCAGATAGAGGAGGGGAATAGATGTTTGTTAGGCCATGAACAGCTTAGGGTTTAAGACATATTTATTTTTCTTGTTTTTAAAAAATGAGAGATCTGAACCTATTAAAAGTTGATGTGAGGTTGCACAACAATGTGAATGTACTTAATGCCACCAAACTGTCCAACTGAAATGGTTCAAATGGTAAATTGCATGTTGTGTATATTTTACCACAGTTTTAAAAACTGATGGGATGGGTTCTTGAGAGGGAATGGTATATTTTGTTGGTGAGAGAGGAAAAGTGCACACTTTGTAAGTTTATACGTTGAATTTGGAGAAACTAAACAACTGTGACCAGCACCCAGATCACAACCCCACTACCCCAGAAGTCCCCCTTGTTCCTCCCAGTCACTACCCACCTCCTCCCCCAGGATTACTATCCTGACTTCCAACACAATAGGTTAGTTTTGCCTGTTTCTGTGCAATATAAACAATCATATAGTATGTGCTTTTTATGTTTGGCATTCAGCATTGTTTTTGAGATCCATATTGTTGCATGTAGTTGTAAAATGTTCATCTATTGCATGAATGTACCACATTTTATCCATTCCAATGTTGATGGGCATTTGGGTAGTTTCTGATACTTGGCTTTTACAGATAGTGTCATTGTGAACATATGTATTCATTTCTGTTGAGTATGTATTCAAGGAGTGGAGCTGCGGGGACAGAGGGTATGCTTATATTAAGCATTAGTACGTAATTCCCAGTGTGGTTGTATCGCTTTACACTCCTACCAGCAGTGTATGAGAGTTTTAGCCCATGTCTTCACTAACACTTAATCATTTTGTGTCATTTCATTAGACATTCTGGTGGGTGTGTAGTGACATAGTACTGTGATTATGATTTGCAGTTTCTTAAGTTGAGTAAGGATATTTAACTTGCATTTTTCATGTGCTTATTGATTGCTTGGATACTCTCTTGTGAAATGCCTGTTTGGATCTTTTGCTATTTTTTTTGCTTTGGAGGTGAATGTCTTACTAGTATGAGTCACTGGACATGTAATACAATTATCTTCTCACATGCTATGATACCCTATGACATGCTATGGCACACTATGGCTTGCCTTTTAACTTTTGATATTTCTTTTCACAAATAAGTTGCTAATTTTAATGTAGTACAGATTATGTTAGTTTTTCCCTTTTTGGTACACACTTTTTGTGTTCTGTTGATAATCTTTGCCTGCTCTAAAGTCACCAAAATGTTCTATGTTTTTTCTAAAGGCTTGTTTAGCTTTGATATTAGATCTGTCGTCCACCTAGAGTTGATTTTATATTTAGTGTGAAGTAGGGTACAAAATTCATGAGTGTCCAATTGGCCCAGCACCAGTTATGTTTTCTCCATGCACTACTGTGTGACCTTTGTCATTTACATTGGGGGACTATATGTAAAGATCCGTTTCTGATTTCTGCATTTTGTTGGTCAGGCCATCCATCTTTAGATAACTCTTTAAAAAAAAAAAAAAACACCCTGTTAGTAGGTGATTGATATCTGGTAGGATAAGTTATCTAGTTTGTTCTTCCTTGTAATCTCTCTTTAAGGGTGGTGAGTCCCCTCATGTCTCATTGGACAGTACTGGGTCGCTTGACTACTTCTAAACCAGGCAATGAAAAGGAGAGTGGGATTGCTGTGATTGGTTTAAACTAATCAGGAATTATCTCTGTGTCTTAATGTAGTGAGGTAGACTTTAAGGACAGAAGTCGAGTAACCAGATAGAGGAGGGGAATAGATGTTTGTTAGGCCATGAACAGCTTAGGGTTTAAGACATATTTATTTTTCTTGTTTTTAAAAAATGAGAGATCTGAACCTATTAAAAGTTGATGTGAGGTTGCACAACAATGTGAATGTACTTAATGCCACCAAACTGTCCAACTGAAATGGTTCAAATGGTAAATTGCATGTTGTGTATATTTTACCACAGTTTTAAAAACTGATGGGATGGGTTCTTGAGAGGGAATGGTATATTTTGTTGGTGAGAGAGGGTGTAATTGATACTGTAAGGATGGATGAATTATATGACATAGGTGGAGAAAATGGCCATCTAAGGAAGAGGAGGAACACCCTACTGTACCAGTAAAAGAGATAGGTAGGGCCAGGAGTGGGTTTATCTTCATGTTTGGTAGTAGGAAATTGGGGAAGTTCTTTTTAATGTCTCAGCTTACTAATTGAACTAGGAGCAGAGTCATCCACTGAGAGGGGGCAGTTAGAAGTTTGAGAAAAGGACGCAAGATGTGAAATGACTATTTTGCAAAGTTAGAGAATGATTTGATACAGAACAACTGCTTAACAACATTGATGGCCCCTTCTGGTTGTTGTAATTATGAAGAGTAATTATGAAAAGCTACCCATATATTCTGCTGTGTGATTTTCTCCAGCAATACTTGGCTCCCTAGATAGAAGCACGGAGGAAGTAGAGAGTAGGGTTGATACAGAGTTGGGACTTTGCCAGAGAGCAAGATGTAAATGCAGTACAAAGAACTATGTGCATGTGAATATGAAATAATGAACCAGTGAATCTTAAGCTATAAAAACAGGTTTTTAAAAAAGGTTGTTAAGTGAGTGAGTTGAGCACCCAGAGGAGATAGTGGGAGGTAGTAGGAATAGTTGAACAAAGAAGATGGGAGGAGCTAGGCTACAGGGAGAGAGTAAGCTGCCTGAATTAGTGATTTTGGAGTTTGAACAATTTTTAGTGGTGATAAATGCTCTTTTGGGGTGGTGGTGGGTAGCTGAGCTGGGGTAGAGGAAGAGGTCACTGAAGATGAGGAGGCCAGGAAACAGAGACATGAATGTTGGATCCGTCAGTACTTGATAGTTTACAAAGTACTGTGTCTTAGCATGGTTTCTCAATTAGTATCTACCTCAAAACAGGAAGGACAGAACTATTATGAGCAAGCGGACCCAGAGAGGTTGATAACTTCCTACCAGCCCCAAGGAGAGTTAGTGGTTGAGTTGGACTCAAGTCCTGTCTCAGGTCCTAATTTCCATGCCCTGGCACTGTGGCTTAACTGATGTATATGTGAAAGATTTGGGCATTATATTCTTGGTTGTATCAGAAGTCTTGCTGACATGCAAAAATAATGCAAAAAGTAGTAATGAGACTAAACATAGAGAAAGACATAGATAAGACGTGTGCAGAAAATACTCCAGAAATATTAAAAATAGTTATTCCTGGGTAGTTGTGATTGTGACTGTGGGTGACTTTTCCCCTTTGTTTTACTTTTCTGTATTTTCCAAATTTCCTATAATGGATATAAAAGGGTTTTTAAAAATTAAAAAGTTATTTTTTAATGAGGTTATATATGGAAAACTCAAAAGGTACAAATAGATACGAAGTATATAATGCCTTTATTAAAAAATTAAAATGTTTGGATTTTTTTTTCTTTTTAGAAATGCACTTGGTGATGGAAAGAGAGCCATTATTCTGAAGAACAATTGGACAAAGGTAGGTTTTTATATTTTACATTGGGCAAATTATGTTATATAATGTGAAGAAACCTGTTTACAGGATGTAAGTTTATATGTAAAAATGCTGGGTAAAATTATGCAGAGCCCAAGAATGTAATGGGAAATCTTCAGTTCCATAATCAGAAAGGAGACCTAGCACAGAGAGGCCATGTGTGTCTAGGGACAAGGAGCAGCTCAAAGGAATCTTGAGGATCTTTAGGGCACCTTAGCGATTGAGATGCCATCATCTGCACGTTCTGGGTGGATGAAAGACCTAATTGTGAGAAATGAAACTTAAAACTTAGAAGGAACTATAAGAGACTGTCTTTACAACCTTGAGATGGGAAAGATTTCTTATATAATACACAATGCACAAATTAGTGGGAGAAAAACCCTGATAAATTTTACTATATCAGACTTAAAAACTTCTGGATATTAGAAGACACCATAGTCTGAGAGGAGATAATTTGTCTCACACACACACACACTGTGTATATTATATATGTGTGTGTGTGTATATATATATATATAAAACATACATAATAGATAGAACTTATAAGATTTATATTGAGAATATGCAAGGAACTGAAATAAATAAGAAATCCAGTGGAAAATGGGCCAATAAAATAAACAAGCATTTCACAGAAGAGGAATCCTGAATGGGCAATAGAAATAAACTATGTTGTATTTCATAGTATTTAAAATTGTACAGAGATAAAAAACAAAACCAAGAGCAGAATAGAGAGCCTCCAAGTGTGAATGAGTAAATAAAACAATGTGGTATTGTTTGGGTCCTTCAGATTGGCAAAAATTAAGGAGACCAATAGTTGTGAGTATTGTGAGTGTGCATAAAATAGGAACCATCAGTAAACCAGTGGAATGTGAGTTGGTTACAGCCTACTTGGAAAGCACTATGATGTGCATATGCCATTCTAAATGGGATCCTAAGTGTGTTCACTTGATTCTAAGTGTGTGCACCTCACAAAGATTCTTGCATATGTGCACATGGTGAGATGTACAAAGTTTACATAGCACAGAATTGCAGATCTCCCAAGTATTCATGACTAAAACAGTGGATGAATGTGGTATTTTCACTTGATCAGAATTGTTACTGTGATCTATCTGCTCTATCTCCCCTCTTGAACACCCATTATTTCTCTGACTCCTATTCTCTCCCTTGTCCACTGTGTGTTGGCCTTCTTGTTCCTTTAACTTGCCAGGCCCACTCCCATTTTGTATTTCCTCTTCTCTCTGCCTATAATTAGAATGCCTTCCCCAGAGCATGAGCTAGCTCCCTTATTTCCCCTTTATTCTTTACTGAAAGTCCTCTTCTCAGTGGAACCTTCCCTGACCACATTACTAAAATACGAAACTTGCCCCTTCTTAGACATTTGCTAACCTCTGTCACTGCTTTACTGTTTTTTTTGTTGGTGGTGGCATTTATTATTACTAAATGTATGATACATATTATTTAAGCTGTGTTTATTGTGTGTTCTCAGTACAGTATGAGCTCCATGAGGGCAAGTTTTTTTGTTCGTTTGTTTGTTTCACTGTTGAATCTGGACTGCCTGAAAAGCTGCCCGGTACACAACAGGTACTTGTTAGTAGATGTTTGTTGGTTTAGTGAATGAATGAATCAAACACTAGATTGCAGTTGAAGTTAATTAACTGGCTTATCACCATTTAGAGATTTAAAAAACAGTGTTGAATGAAAAAAACAGTAAAGGCATAATATAGGCTGGAAAAATACCTGTCAAACTCATTGTAGTGTTTGCTTCTGGCAGTAAGAGAGAGAAAGGTTAGGGGGTACAAAGGAAATTTCAGCCTTATCTGTATATTTTTATTTCTTTCATTAAAAAACAATCTGAAGCAAATATAACAAGATACCAACAGTTAATTCTGGATGTAGTAATTTCTGTAGTTTCCTAAATCATAAAAATATCTGACATTTTCTTTAAAAGTAAGTAGAGCTTCAAATAAGAAACAGACATGTTTCAGACTTCATTCTTGACTTTACATAATTTGTTTTTATTTTTCCTTTTTTTCATTGGAATGATGTTAGTTTGCAATATTATATTGGTTTCAGATGTATAACATAGTGACTTGATAATTATATACATTAAGAGATGCCTACACAATAAGTGTAATTACCCTAATACCGTAGCAAGACATTACGCTATTATTGTTTATATTCTCTGTGTTGTGCTTCCATTCCTATGACTAACTTATTTTACAATTTGCAGTTTGTACCTCTATCCCTTTCACTTATTTCACCAGTCCCCCTACCCCCCTCCCTATGGAACCAACAGTTTGTTGGGTCTGTTTCTTTTTTGTTCGTTTTGCTTTTTGGATTCCACAAATAGTGAAATCGTATGGTTATTTGCCTTCCTCTGCCTGGCTTATTTCACTGAGCATAATAGCCTGTAGCTCCATCCATGTTGTTGCAAATGGCAAGATTTCCTTCTTTTTTTATGACTGTGTAATATCCCCTTTTGTGTGTGTACCTCATCTTCTTTATCCATTCATCTATCAGCAGGCACTTGGGTTGCTTCCATATCTTTGCTAGTGTAAATAATGCTTCAGTGAGCAGAGGCGTGCATATATCTTTTCTAATTAGTGATTTTGTTTTCTTTGGGTAAATTCCCAGAAGTGGAACTGCTGAGTCATATGGTATTTCTGTTTTTAGTTTTTAAAGGAATCTGCATGCTGCTTTCCACAGTAGCTGCACCAATTTATATTCCCATCAACAGTGGTTGGGGCGGGGGATTCCCTTTTCTCCACAGGCTCACCAACAATTGTTATTTCTTGTCTTTTGGGTAGTGGCCATTCTGATTGATGTGAGGTGTGATAACTCATTGTGGTTTTGGTGTGCATTCCCCTGATAATTAGCAATGTTGAGCATTTTTCACGTGTCTGTTGGCCATCTGTATTTCTTCTTTGGAAAAATGTCTGTTCAGGTCCTCTTCCCATTTTTTAATTGGATTACTTGTTTTTTTGGTGTTCAGTTGTATGAGTTCTCTATTTTTAGAAATTAGCCTTTTATTGGATATATCATTTGCAAGTATCTTCTATTTGGTAGGTTGCCTTTTCATTTTGTTGAGTTTCCTTTGCTGTACAGAAGAGTGAAGAAACCTGTTTACAGGATGTAAGTTTATATGTAAAAATGCTGGGTAAAATTATGCAGAGCCCAAGAATGTAATGGGAAATCTTCAGTTCCATAATCAGAAAGGAGACCTAGCACAGAGAGGCCATGTGTGTCTAGGGACAAGGAGCAGCTCAAAGGAATCTTGAGGATCTTTAGGGCACCTTAGCGATTGAGATGCCATCATCTGCACGTTCTGGGTGGATGAAAGACCTAATTGTGAGAAATGAAACTTAAAACTTAGAAGGAACTATAAGAGACTGTCTTTACAACCTTGAGATGGGAAAGATTTCTTATATAATACACAATGCACAAATTAGTGGGAGAAAAACCCTGATAAATTTTACTATATCAGACTTAAAAACTTCTGGATATTAGAAGACACCATAGTCTGAGAGGAGATAATTTGTCTCACACACACACACACTGTGTATATTATATATGTGTGTGTGTGTATATATATATATATAAAACATACATAATAGATAGAACTTATAAGATTTATATTGAGAATATGCAAGGAACTGAAATAAATAAGAAATCCAGTGGAAAATGGGCCAATAAAATAAACAAGCATTTCACAGAAGAGGAATCCTGAATGGGCAATAGAAATAAACTATGTTGTATTTCATAGTATTTAAAATTGTACAGAGATAAAAAACAAAACCAAGAGCAGAATAGAGAGCCTCCAAGTGTGAATGAGTAAATAAAACAATGTGGTATTGTTTGGGTCCTTCAGATTGGCAAAAATTAAGGAGACCAATAGTTGTGAGTATTGTGAGTGTGCATAAAACAGGAACCATCAGTAAACCAGTGGAATGTGAGTTGGTTACAGCCTACTTGGAAAGCACTATGATGTGCATATGCCATTCTAAATGGGATCCTAAGTGTGTTCACTTGATTCTAAGTGTGTGCACCTCACAAAGATTCTTGCATATGTGCACATGGTGAGATGTACAAAGTTTACATAGCACAGAATTGCAGATCTCCCAAGTATTCATGACTAAAACAGTGGATGAATGTGGTATTTTCACTTGATCAGAATTGTTACTGTGATCTATCTGCTCTATCTCCCCTCTTGAACACCCATTATTTCTCTGACTCCTATTCTCTCCCTTGTCCACTGTGTGTTGGCCTTCTTGTTCCTTTAACTTGCCAGGCCCACTCCCATTTTGTATTTCCTCTTCTCTCTGCCTATAATTAGAATGCCTTCCCCAGAGCATGAGCTAGCTCCCTTATTTCCCCTTTATTCTTTACTGAAAGTCCTCTTCTCAGTGGAACCTTCCCTGACCACATTACTAAAATACGAAACTTGCCCCTTCTTAGACATTTGCTAACCTCTGTCACTGCTTTACTGTTTTTTTTGTTGGTGGTGGCATTTATTATTACTAAATGTATGATACATATTATTTAAGCTGTGTTTATTGTGTGTTCTCAGTACAGTATGAGCTCCATGAGGGCAAGTTTTTTTGTTCGTTTGTTTGTTTCACTGTTGAATCTGGACTGCCTGAAAAGCTGCCCGGTACACAACAGGTACTTGTTAGTAGATGTTTGTTGGTTTAGTGAATGAATGAATCAAACACTAGATTGCAGTTGAAGTTAATTAACTGGCTTATCACCATTTAGAGATTTAAAAAACAGTGTTGAATGAAAAAAACAGTAAAGGCATAATATAGGCTGGAAAAATACCTGTCAAACTCATTGTAGTGTTTGCTTCTGGCAGTAAGAGAGAGAAAGGTTAGGGGGTACAAAGGAAATTTCAGCCTTATCTGTATATTTTTATTTCTTTCATTAAAAAACAATCTGAAGCAAATATAACAAGATACCAACAGTTAATTCTGGATGTAGTAATTTCT